GGGTACCAAAAGGATGGATACCAAAAGGATGGGTACCAAAAGGATGGGTACCAAAAGGATGAATACCAAAAGGATGGGTACCAAAAGGATGGATACCAAAAGGTGAGTTTAAGGGGAAAATGTGTGTGAGAGATCCTTACTGCTCAGAGAAAGACCATACATGCTAGACTGAAAGGTAACAAGCTAATGTGTACTGTGCTCTGTTCTTTTCTCTGAATGAGACTCTTGATTACCACTATTACCAGTAAACCAATATTGATACTTTCTTACTGATAATAATAACAACTCTTGATTATCAATTTATCAGTAGAGCTGATAAACAGAGTAAGTGAACAGCTTCTTACAGTGTTTCAGCTCTGGCTAAATATTTGGACTTTCATTAAAGGAACAATTAAACAATTATAGAGGTTTGTGTGTGTGTGTGTCTGTGTTGCTGGAAATTAAACCTAGGATCTTGTACATACTAGGCAGGTACTTTCCCTCTGATCTGGATTCCAGAAACATTTATATAAATATAAATGTATATGTGAATATATAAGTAAGTGTATATGTGAATCAATCAATCAATCAATCAATCAATCAATCAATCTGTTAATATTAGATTCCATTTACCTTTAGCCCAAATAATAAACTACATGTGGTTCAGGGCCTTTCTTGACACATCATACCACACACTATTGATGTCACATGCCTGTAGTCTTGGAACTTATTCTTTTCACTCCTTAACTTTCTTTGGAAAGTTCAGTGGATAACACATCTTTATCATCTTTCCAGCTCCTTTGGGGTCTCATTCTGTGTGTGTATATTTATGTCTGTGAAGGTGCACATGTGTGCATGTGTCTATAGGCCAGAGGATAATGAAGAATGCCATTCCTCGGGTGCTGTCCACCTTAATTTTTAAGACATGGTCTTATTGACCTGGAACTTTCCAAGTAGGCTACATTGGTTGGTGAGTAAATTCCAGCTATTCACTTGACTCAACTTCCTGAGGATTACAAGTGTGTGTCAGGTATATAACGCACATTTTAAAAGTTAGGTTCTAAGGACTTCTTTCAGATCCTTGTACTTGTAGAGCAAGTACTCTTTCAACTGAGCTGTTTCCCCCAACCTGAGATCTTTTTATGATTGGGTTTTACTTAAATTTGATGCCACATCTTGGGATTTCACATTGTAATTTTGGGCTCAAACAGAATACCATAGTGTATACTAAGTCAGGTTGAAAAACATAAATATTTTAAAATCTACTTATATGAAAAGAATTGATTAAAGAGTTCTTTTTGATACATGTTTATCTTTGTGTGGAATAACTTGGAAACATTTCGGAAATTTCTAACAATGGATGTCTCTGGGGAGTAGAACCAGGACACTGTATGTTGGAAGGAGTCTTTTCATTTAATACTGATTTGGGTTATTTGAAAATTTTAAAACATATTAAGAATGTAATTCAAAGTATCTCTTAAAAATAGTTCTACATTGTTAAAGTGTGATTAACATACAGAAAACTGTATATATCTAATGTATACAGTTTGCTTAATTTAGAAATAAGTATACCTTTGTGAAACCATCATAATCTATGTTGTAAACACATCCATGGCCTTGAAAAGCTTCCTATTGCCCTCTTTATTATGCCTTGTGTTGTAAGAACACCTAAGATGAGTTGTAACCTTTTAATAAGGCACTGTTTGCCATGGGTGGTCTCTAGGACTTTTGAGCTGAAATTTGCATACTGTTAACATAATGACCTTTTCCCTAGTTCTAGTTTGCTGTCTGTTGATGACTTAAAGCAGTTTATGGAGGAAAGGGTTTGTTTGGCTTTCCCTTATATATCACAGTCTGTCATTAAAGTTTAGTCAGGGTAGGAGCTCAACCATGAACCTGGGGCAGGAACTGAAGGCCATGAAATACTGCTTCTGGGCTTGCTCTTCATGACCTGTTTAGCTTGGTTCCTTATACAACCCAGGGCCACCAGTCCTGATGTGCCACCACCCACAGTGCTCTGGGCTCATCTGCATCAATCATCATTCAAGAAAATGTCCCACAGATTTGCCTTAGGGTCAATCAATGGAGGCAGTTCCTCAATTGAGATTCCCACTTCCCAGAAATGTTTAGGTTATATCAAATCAACAAAAAACTAACCACCCCACCATTCTCCCCATGTGGTCCTTAAGTTTTGAGTTTTTTCCCAGGCATGGTGGCACATAACTTTAATCCTAGCACTTAGAAGGCAGAGACAGGTGGATAGAATAGGACACACTGTTCTACTACATAACAAATTCCAGGCTAGGTAGGGCTACCTACCCCCTCTCAAAAATAAAATAAAATAATATAAAACTTAAGCCCTCTTGTTCTTTCCTTTTTAGGCTCAAGAATAATTTGTTGGTCAGCTAAAATCAATGAAACTTTCATGCATAAACAAAAGTTTTATTAATTAATGCCTTCACTATACAAATACAGGAAATTTGATTATTATTTATTTTTTTTAGCAAGTTGTATTGGTTCCTTTTCTATTGCTGTAATGAAATACAATAACCAAGGCAACTTGTAAAGCACTTAACTGTTGTATGGTTCCAGAGAGGTAAGAGTCTATCATTGCAGGGAAGTATGGCAGCAAACACAGATATGGCAGCAGGAGTTGAAGCTGAGAGCTCAGAACTTGAACCGTATGCACAAGACAGAGTACTCTGGAATGGCTTGGGACTTTGGAAACATCAAAGCCCTTACTTGTGACGTAATTCCTCCAGGAACACCACACCTCCTCTATCTACTGAACCGACTCCACTAAACTGGCCTTAAAAGCTCCACACAACCAAGGGTGACTTTGATTTTATGGTTCTACTACTTCTGCCTCTTGAATGCTAGGATTTCTGGAATGTAATACTACACCTACTTACTTAGTGCTGGGGATTGAACCAAGGCCTTGCATGTGCTACACCCAAGTACTTTACTAACTGAGCTACACATCCCTAGCCCCTAACATTCCTTATAAATATTTTAGCTGTTGACCATTTATCATTCACAAATACGCTTTTCTTGTCCACTGCTTAACTTTTCTTGTTGTTGATTGTTTCTTTAGCTACATAGAAGAAGCTTTCCATTTTGCTATAGGACTAGTTAGTTATTTTGTTGCCTGGGCTTTTGATGTGATATCCAAAACCTCAAAGTTATAACAAGCAGCTTTTTCTCCTTTATGTTCTTTTCTGAGGGTTTTGTGGTTTAAATTTTTACACTTAGGTCTTTTGCACATTTTGAGTTAATTTTTAGTTCAATTTCAATCACTTGCATGTAAAATATCTCTAGCATCAGTTATTGAAGAGACTATCTGTTTTCTTAATGACCTTGTGGAAATTAGTTCTTAACTTTGTATTTATTTATGACGCTCTTTGTTTCATTGGTCTTTGCTTCTGTTTTTATGTCAATATTATATTGCACTGATTACTAATTGATTAGATTTGAAATACAACTTGAGACAGAGTCTTGTTATATAGCTCAAGAGACTCAAGTCTGCTTTCTAAAAAAATTTATCTATTTTAATTTTCTGTGTGTTTTGTCTGCATATACGTATGGGTGCCATGTGCATACCTGGTACTTGAAGAGGTTGTTAGATCTGCTAGAACTTGAGTTATAGGTAGTTGTGAGCCTCCCTGTGGATGCTGGAAACTGAACTTGGGTCCTCTGAAAGAGCAACACGTGTCCTTAACCACTGAGCTATTTGTCCAGTCCCGGTGTTTCAAAATAGTCAGAGTTCAATTTTTTTCCTCGTCCTATTTAATGTTGTGACTACAGGAATGTATTCCATGCTCAGACTGTAATATCATTTATATCAGGAAGTATGAAGCTTCCAAATCTTTCAGTGTTGCCTCACCTAGTCTGTGAGTGTGTGTGTGTGTGTGTGTGTTACTTATGGATCTTAAGTCTTTATTTCTGTGGAGAATGCCATTGAGATTTTGCTATGTATTATGTTAAGTCTCTATTGTTTTTCACAGTATGATTGTTTTATCAATATTCTTTTGATCCATGAATATAGATTATCTTTCTGTATACTTATATCTTCTTCAGTTTCTTGTAACCATGCTCTATAATTCTTAGGGTTCAAATCTTTTACTTCTTTCAGTTATATTTGTTTCTATTTTTTGATACTGTTGTAAGAGATATTATTTTTTTCCAGCTAGAGTGCATATGAGTTACTGGAGTTTTTGTGATTTTTGTATCTTTTATGTTTGTATCTTTACAAATTCATGTATTATTGTGATCATTTAGGTGTAAACATGTATAGGGTGGAGTTTTCCACATGCAGAATCATGTCACTGAAAAGCGTGGTTTGTCCCTTCTGATTTAGATACTTTTATTTGCTTTTCATATCTTACTTTTCTAGGACTTTCAATATGAAGTTGACTAGAAGTAGTCAGTACAGGTACCCTATGTTGTGCTAGATCTTAGCAGAAAATCTTCCAGCTATTTCCTACTGATTATGATAGTAGTGGGGCATTTTTCATAAAAGACATTTATTATATTGTAGAATTTTCCTTCTAAACTCAAACTATTTTTAGAATCAAGGATGCTGAACTTTCTCAAATGCTTGTTCTCAGTCAATTGAGACAATTGTATCATTATAATATTTCAGTTTGCCAGTGTGATGCATTCCACTGATTGATTTGTATACCAGGTATAAACCCCATTTTATCATGGCATATAATCTTTTGATGTGTGGTTGGTTTGTATTGGTCAAATTTTATACATGATTTTTGCATCAGTGTTCATAAGAGATGCCAGCCTCTGACAATGTCTTTGGTTCAAGGATTAAAGTGATGTTGGCTTCATAAAATTTGGCAATATTCCCTCTGGTTCTATGTTTTGAAGAATTCAAATAGCATTGG